AAAAGCCAGTTGACGAATTTCTTCTTTTCAGAAATTATTGGTTTTGCAATGTTTTCTTCATTACACTTTTTGCAGGGGAGAAGTGTCGGATTTAGCCATACTCCGGGGGCTCTGTCATGCATGGAAGCTTTGTTTTCGGCTATGAACGTGCCGACTTCCATGAATTTTTGATGTAAATTGAAACTTATTTCGAACTTTTCCTCGCACCTCTTGCACTGTACTTTGTCCGTAATGGTGTCGATTTGCTTGGATCGCAAGTAGGCTAGGCTGTGAACAGTGGCGCGGTAGCTCGTGGACCATGGAAACTGCACTGGGATGGTGGCGCTCTTCCCTTCTCTCGGCGACTGTGCTGAGTTTCGACGAACACGATGTGGCCGGGGTATGACAGTACCATTACTTGGACCAACATCTTCTTGATAGCAACTATATGGTTGTGATAGGTTTCCCCCAGTTACGTTGTGGGATGGGGAGAGTTGTAACGATACTAGCTGATCTGAGGTGGCGGAGGGCGGCAAAAGTTCCAGCCGCGCTGGCGGTGACGATGGCGGCGGCGGGTGGGATATGGGTGAGACACCATTCTCTTGATAGTAACGATATGGTAATGTCAAAGTAGGACGATTTTCTCCAGTTATAATAACTGGGTGGTGGGATTGGGTATTTTCGGCGGCGGATGGTGGCGGAAGATATAGTGACTGCCGGTTTGGCTGAAGGGAGGCACCATTTCCTTGATAGCGATAATATGGGAATGTCACAGTAGTACCAGAAAGTGATGGAACTCGGTTGTCCGATGGGGGTGAGAGTTCTAATGTTAGTAGAGGATCTGAATCGTCGGAGAGTCTTGAAAGATCCAGCGGAGGCGGTAGTTGAGGCGGCGGCGACGGAGGAGGGTGGGGTACGGATGCAGTAGAGCAAATACATGACAGTGAGAGGCCCAAGAAATCATTGTCGTCTTCTTCTTCGAGATCAGAAGAGAAATTTCTTGGGATTTGAAATTCAGGGCTATTAAATCTTCTCCTTTTGTTCTCGTTGATTTCACTATCAGTAGCCATTTTTTCGCCAATCTTGAAAAATCCAGAAGAAGAAGAAGAAGAAAATAAGAGTCACTGAGACATTAGAATTTTCAGAGATTATATATTGTAAAATAATTTGGGATAAGAGAGAATAAACCGAATTTGTAGCATGACTACAGATTCGGGATTCATATTGAATTCAAAAAATGTCCATTCACATTCTTTGGGATTTTGTTTAATTTTTTCTGTTTTGTAAATTCCCACGTGGCAATTACATTTCGCACTTACTGGGATTCACTGCAGTGTTGCCTGAGTACTGACACTGTGCAGTATGTACAGTGATACCACTTTTTCATTTTTTTAATAAACCAAAAAAAAAAAAAATTTCATTTGCAAGAATCAAGAATTAAGAACAATTTCTACCCCAAAAAAAAAAAAAAAAAAACACTAGTAATCTTTTACGAGCAGATGTTATTTTTTGCTCAACAATCTTCGACATTATTTCTTGTAGTGTTAGAAAAGAATTGCGATATATATCCATTTTCTTATTGTTCTTATTAAGGTTTAATTTGTATCAATTCTAGATATAGCCCAATTTTGGTGTGGGCTGGAGAGAGGGTCAGGCCCAGGATGAGGCCCATATTATTTTCAGACAACTGTTTGTGGTTGATATCATAAGCCCGATTGATGCTGTGGCTCGGCCCATATAAGCCTTATATAAATGGTGAAGATAACCGAATTCCTGCGGTAGCTCCATTGAATGTCAGGTACAGAATCTCTGAAGGTACTTAGTTATCTGTTTGATTTTCGGTTTCAAATTTCAATCTTTGCAATTAATTTGATCGAGTACCTTTATTTTCGCTGTTCTAAGTAATGATTATTTGATTCTGATCATGTCTATTCATTAAAATTCAAATGGATTGAACTGCTTCGCCGTGGGGGGTGAAGAAATACAGGAACCCTTCCACTTAGAGACACGTTAATGGCATGATTGATGAAATGACTATTCCATGTACAATTTTTGTTTTGGATATGAAGCATGCAAGTTTAAATGACAAATTTGTGCAGTGGATCTTGTGAAATTGATATGACAAATTTGTGAACTAGGTTTTGTGAAATTGAAATCACAAATTTGTCTATTAAGTAATTTTGTTTTTGTTAATGTTTCACTTACTGGTACCCTAAATTGTTGTCTATGGAGGGCTGATTTGTATGGCCGCAGATAGACATAATTTAGATAAAATAATATTTGGCCAACAGATGATTACATTAATACTTTTTTGTGATATATGAAACCCAATGAGCACTGCAACAGCTACCCGCTTTAACTCTTCCCTTGTCTCGCCCTTTAAAACTTTCACGATTCTCGTAGGTTTTCTTAAATATTACAGTTTTAGGCACTGTCTCTTTCTTTGACTCTTTTTCCTTTTAATTTGTTTTCATGATGTAAATGCCTGAATTTGAGCTTCTATGGTCAGTTTTTTTCCTCTTGTGAAGGATTTATCTGTGCTTTTATGGGTTTATTTAAGTGATTTGAGCTCTCGATTGTTGCTTGTGATTGGCCTTTTTCATGAATAATTGAACTTTTTTTTTTTTTTTTGGTTGTCTTGAATTTTTTGTATCATTATTTATGGGATCATATGTCATGTTTTTACTTTTCGTGTAATATACAGATTTTTCTCATAAGTTGACCTTTTTTTTAATTAAAATTTCAACACCACCAAACATATTGTTCTATGTCTGCCCCTGAGTCTCTTATATTAAGCATGAAGCGATCCACAAAAATTGAATTTAGAGAAGATCGAATTTATGAAATTTAAAGTTACATAAAGGGCTAGGTGAGGATTTTGGGGGACAGAATGGCATCTTATATCACTTGATCCTGCTCCGCTCGCACCATTTTGTTTTGCTTAACTGGGTCCTTTTGTGTTCATGTAGGCACTGAACTTTGCCATATTTCAGAATTTTATCAACCTTACGGGGGCTCAGCAGTTGTTTATCTTATTGGCAGTTTGTAGATCCTTAAATGAACAATGTCGTAGATTTGCTGAATAATGCATATTAGGAGTTTATTGCAGCAGCAGCCAGCTTTCTGGAATCAAAAGAAAACTCCAGTGGCCAGTGATGCTGCCCTAGAGAATTTTAAGCAACGATAAGAATTGTTCAGAGTTGCTTGTGATGAAGCAGAAGAGTTTGTGGAATCCATGAAGCAAAGAATAGGGTCTGAGTGTCTAGTGGATGAGGCCACTGGCTCGGTTTCTCAGAAATCCAGACTAGTGTTCCACCTATCGGTGCTGCTCGATTGGAACAAATGAGTAAAGCAGTCAAATGGCTGGTGATTGAATTGCAACGAGGTTCTGGAACTGGAGGTGGTTCATCGCAACCCCACCCTACAGCTCCTTTTGATGCTCGATTCACTGAAGATGTTGGTCAATAGGTATTCCAAACTCTATACAATGTGGTGGAGGTTGTGAACCTGAAAATTCTGCATCATAGCTTAGTCAGCCAGGGAGCTGATAAATTTTTTAAATTTTAAGTTTTTAGTAAAAGGCACATATCTTCTTCATAGTATCCAAGTAAATTTTTGAAGCTGATAATCAATTATCAGAGAAAAACAGTTAATTCATTTTTAGGAGATGAAGATTGAGTCCTGTTGAAATAGAGTTCAGAATTGATCTAAGCATTTTTATTTTTTTTTGACAAGGGAACCCGCAGCTGCTACCCGAAGGTGCGCACTAGGTAAACCCCGCCTTGTGATCCTTTCCGGCAAAAGACCACAAGGAGGTAAACCAGCCTAGGTTACCCATAGCTAACCGGCTCAAATCAAGAAGGCCAATAGGCAGCTCCAACGGGAATCGAACTAGCAACCTCACAATTGCTAGTCCAACTGCCCTACCAACTTGGCTGGGGTTGCCCCCTAGAATTGATCTTAGCATTGACATTATAACTGGAGGTCCAAAGCCAAAGATACTCCCTACAATTTCACCAGTCAATGACACCAGCACCATTTTCAGAAAAGAGGAATTCATGGCTACTGTGTTCATCTTTGCAGGAAAGAATGTTTCCACTCCGATTATGTACTTTTGACATTGACAAGCCTCTGAGAAAACAGACTTTAGGAAGGCGACGAATTATATTCTGCCCAATGTTTAAGTGAAAGTGAAAGTAATGAGCACCCCTCTCTCTCTCTCTTCAGGGTACCTCTTCTTTTCGTTGCTATGGAGCACTTACTAATGTACTCCAAGAATCCACAGCATTCTTTCTGTGTTAATTTGTCTTGCAAGCGTGATTTTTGATGTAATCGTGCTGGAATTAAAGATGTTAACTTTTCTGCTGAACTGGGCTATACAAAAAGTTGAAAGCCACTCCCGACACAGCTTGTCTGGAATGACAGAGAGTCGTGGCACTAGCTCGACTGAAGTTTACTCCGTGATATAATCTTTTTATTTTTCCTTTTTTTGGATCGGGTAAATAAATTGTATTGATCAAAATTTTGAGTACAACTGCTCCGAGTATGCCTGGGCATACAAAATAAGACATTACAATGACTACTGATCCAAAACAAGTGATTGAGCATGAATCAAAACATTACAACTTCTGCTAATCGAATACACGAAGTACAAAGCTGCTGGCCGGTTTCAAATTCTCTTAGAGGAGATACAAATCGAATCTTTCAATAACAGTTCATAACCATGCTGGCCGAACTTCACAGCTTCGAGGACCTTGGAATCTTCAAAGAAAATTTTAGTCTGGGCGGATTTAATGAATTCTTGTGAATAGATAGCTTGCATTTTGACATCCAGAGTAAACACCATATCAATGATGAAAAGCCCAAGCAAGAAAGGTTGTAGGTTTAGCTAAAAGACGTCGTAAACTGGATTCGTACTTAAACTTGTTGGTGGAAAAATTCAACCAAAGAACATAGAAATCTGCCAACAAAACTGAACCTGGATCGCAGCTGACCTACATTGCACTTGCTGAACTCACTGGAAACTTTAACAAATTCGAGACAGTCCCAATTATTAAGGCTAAAATCGAACATCACCAAAGAGGAGCACCAAGAAACTCGGCAAAACTTTGCATGAAACTGCTTGAACAATGCATATGACCTCTTACCGTTTTCAAATCTTCCAAAAGGCTGGAAAACTTACTACTTTCAAGGAAATTGCCACACTAACCTGGCCGGTTTTCAACCTTCAAGAAAAGTTGAAATTCTTCGAAGATAACACTTTGAATTTTTTAATGAACCCGCCTAGCTACATTCGCCGAAATTTGAACGAGAACTTGAAATCTTCAGATACAAATTTTTAAAATCTGGACAGATTTTTCAAAATCTGTATTGCTGGATTCGAGCTTACAAATATATGAAAGTAAGATCGAACAAGGATCTATGAGCTCACAAATGTAAATGGCAACTTTAATGGGAGTGTTTCTCTCACTAAAGTTGAAAGCTTCTCTTTCTAACATTTTACATGTTGTGGACTAAGAGCTTTTTGCTACTCGGTGAGTTAAATCTTATTATGAAAACCATTGGCTTTGATGATAACTGGTTTATAAAAGCTGCGAGATTAGATGATCCTTGGCCTTCTCAACTAGTTCTCGTTATCTGTAGTTTGCACTACACCACATCTGCAAAACAATCTATTAGATTTATTGAATGAAAAACAATGTATTAAACTCCATAAGGAGAAGAACAAAACACTCCATTAAAGGAGGAATTACACTCCATGATAGGCGGAACAAACAACTCCAAAATAGGAGGATGATAACATTCCATAATAGGAGGAATAGAAAGACACTCCACAAAGGAGGAAAGACACTCCATATAGGAGGAAGAAACCTCCGTGGAAGGAGGGATTGGAGACTACAATCCAATGAATTAAAATGTGTACAAACTCTAGTATTTATAGAAAAAATAACTAGCTAACTAGGAAGTCTCTAGAATCTGGAAATTCTGGAATAAGAAGTAATCTACCGGACATGGACTTGGTTGAGCTGGAAGTGAATATCCTGTTAAGCTGGAATATTCTGCTGATGTG